GGAAAATTGTTGTCATATTTTACAGTTGACCATGTGCTCATGTATAAATCACACCAGTTTTGCAAAAGGAAAAAATGTGTGTGGTCACACAAGCACACACACACACACACACAAACATATATTTATTGCACATTTAATACTTTATTGTCTGCTGTGCACAAACACTACAATGCATAGCAGGAACACTGTGGTCAGAAATCACGAAGAGAATTAAAGATTTGTGGTTCTAACAGTGTTAGCCTTTAGCATGTGTTTTGCCAGCTGTAATGGAAGAAGAGAGAGGCAATCAGTGAGCGTGTAGAGGAGGGAGGGGGGAGTCAGACAGTCTCACCCACACACTTCCACAGAACAGTCAGTACTGGCCTGAACAGCTGTGAACAGAGCAGGTCTCCTTCCTCCTGCATGCTCCTGCAAAAGCCTCACATGGAGCCACATGTGACAGGCAACACCAACAGCAGAGCACACTGTGCTGGGACTCAGCGAGCACGGGAGCTCCCACTGCAGGGCTGACAGCCAGGCACAATCAGCTGGGGCGACATAAGAAAGGGAACACACACATGCACACACACAGACACGCTTTGTGCACTCACACAACTTTGGTAGTCTCTAATTGTGAATGCATAATGAAGCTGCTGCAGCACAGACACAAGGAAATATATCTCTACTCAGTGATGCGTTTTACTATGTACCCTGGTGGAAAATGCCTTGTGGGTGCACGGTGCATCACTCAGGCAAGTTTTTAAGTTTTGTGAGAAAGGTCACCACAGCTCTCTTGTTGACAAAAGGCTCATTGTTGAAGGGGAGGGGGGGGGGGGTTGTCAAACCCAATCATACAGCTGCTTTGCTGTTACAGCTTGAGTCGCTCACATGAAGCTACAGATAAGATCACTTCTCTAGCAAATTGTTGTGCAACCTACTTTGCACTCTGAGCTGCAGCTTGACTCGCATTAAAAAACAGTACTGTAGTGGATGGTGTTTGGGAAATAAGTGTGGAAATATACTCGTGTTATCACATAAAATAGTGTGTTTACGTCCACTATTGCCGCAGCTAATGCTGCAGTGATAGTAAGTAAATGCACTTTATTGCAAACATCATTTTATTTTTA